TTTTTATGGCCTTATTTAATGGTCTCTTTTCAACTAACGCAAAATTTGCAAATGTGTTAGTAAGATAAATGAGAATGTGTTAGTTTCCATCACACAATTCTTCTAGGGTCGTTTTCGACACCTTATCGTCGCCTGGGTAAAAAAAAATGTCGTATGTAAATTTCGGCAGGTTGTGGGAAATCGGGATTGAAGTTTGAAATGCAATTTCTAAAAATGCGAAGATAGATTTTCTCCAAAATCTCTGAAAATATTACTAGTTCACAAAATTCTTAAATTATTTAATTTTTAATGTTTATTGTTAATTAGTTTTGAGTTTATGAAGGATTTTCTTTAGTAAAATTTTGCCGTAAGCTTCACTTGTCCACAATTTGGCCGTCACATTGTATGAAATGCGACACAATGTGATCAAAGTTTCTACCAAATTAACGACACTACTCAATATCTCGGGTAAAGAACGCCATTTTTAAGATATTGCATAATTTAATATGACTGCATCACCAATTAAATTTTTACTGAATTATCGAAAAAGTTGTAGTCAATATCTGGGAAACTAAAGGAGATATCTAAAAACTGATAGCAGCAATCAAAAGACCTTATTTCAAAATATATAACTGCATCTACAACTAAAAAGCGTCAAAATGGCGCTTACGACAATCTTTTACCCAGGCGATGTTATGTCATTTATTCCGTAATCTAAACTTACATATTTTTCTTAGTTGTTGTTGTTGTTGTTGTAGCGGCTACAACAACCCCGCCCAGATCGGTTGGTATCTCAGTCGTTGTCGTCAAGTTCCACTAACGGCAACCCTAGGAAGCGTGCAGCTTCTGCGGGGTTTGCCCATAAGGACAAGGTCGTTAGGGATGTCGGGTTTTCTTAGTGTATAAATTTGATTGGAACTGAATTCGAGAATGCACACACAGCAAAGTGTCCATTCATCTGGCAGCTAATTCAGTATTGAAGCCTGTTTACTTCAGCATTCTCAGTTTTTCATTCCGGTATTTACCACCTTACCGTGTGAAATGAAATTTTGTTTAATGATTGTAGATTGCATGATAAAAACATAGCAAGGTAGAACCGTTCTCTCAAATTGTCGGCCATGGTTTTTTTTTTTGAAGTTTACCAACAAAATCATATAAAAGTAAATATAAAAAAATTAAATTGTTCGAAATTGTTGCTTGAGATTGAAAATGAAAATGTGTGTGTGAGTTTGTGAGTAAATTTAAAAATTAAATTGTTTGGAAATGTCAAGAATTTTAAAAGTGACTCTCAGCGGTTCTACCTTACTATATTTTTATCATGGTAGATTGAAAACATATAAGCCACAAAGCCACACTACCAGACAAAAGAAAAAAGAATGACAACCCCTTTGTAAATATTTCATGATTAAAATTTTAAATAATTTCACAGTTATAGTTACAACTCTGACATATGTATTTGCTTTTACACCATGACAACTTAATGCTTGAAATACAATACCGGCGAACGGCAAATTTCGCCAAACTGGGC